ATCATATAGTAGCTCGATCCGACCAACACACAAACTGCCTGCCTAAGAAGAAAGAGCTCAGCTTTAAAGCTGAGGGATACGTTTGCAAAGATATCTATAGACGGACCTGGCTTATCTCGGGTGGCTATGACTCGGCTGTTGGTATTGATCAAAAATATATATATCAAGACTGTTAGCCGAGCTTAAACCCAACTGGCTCGAAGCCGTTCCGTTCCGTTCTTTTTTGATTCTATGAACCTCGAACCAAACCATTTTCACAAATAATAACCGCACCTTAAACGTAACTAATCCATATTTTTGAAAACATGGTTTCGGATTAAGAAACATTAATATTTGAAAATTACGTTTCTGTTCTTCTCTTATCTGTATATTTATTTTCATATATACATATATACATACAAACATCAATACATTCGTACATACATACATACATACATACATAAATGCATGCATACATACATATATACATTCATACATGCATACATACATACAATGATTCATACATACATATATACATACATACATACATACATACATACATACACACATACATACATGCATATATATATTATACATATATACATACATACATACTTGTATATATATTCACAAAGCGAACCTTAAGAAGAAACGTTGGTAAAAACCTCGTTCCGAAGCACCAACAATTTATTTTGTTTTTGCAGCATTGCTATATAAAATTAATGGAGTCGAAGATGTCATCTTCAATGCGTTACACATTTTATGACATAATTATAATACCCTCTAAAAACGTAGCCCCAATGTCTCCATTATGTGCGCGCACACACGCACGCACATGCGCACACACATACACTAGATGTAAATCTTTTGCACACATGTACACACATGTTGATCCTTTTGTTGTGTCAAACAATTGAATGCATTGACAAAAGCAGCAGCCGCAGCCCAACCAGCTGACATGGACGAATATCGATCAACCCATAAGACAACTGCTGCAGCAATCCCAACAAGAATCGCAAACCGAGCATAAGATTTACATACTCTCGACACTCTCGAGTGGCCGCAACGAGGCGACTTTGTCCACGCCGGGCCACTTAAGTTGACGTCGTCAGCGATGCCCGACGCTCTGCGCCCAGGGCGCATGCCTGGAACGACAACAATAACAACAGCAACAGCAACAACAACAAGAACAACATCAAAAACAACGTTGACTGCGAAGCCTGTTGCCCGGGTGTTGCCAACTTGGGACAAAAAGGATGACTAAATGCATGCAAGTTATTTAAATGAGACATTTTAAGAGTCAGTTCATGGCAAGGCTGCAGAATGTGGACAGCTCTTGGTTCCGGCTCTTGCGTAGCCTTTGAAAACTGTAGAGTAGTTGGGTGTATTTACTTAGGTGCTTTGTCTGGCAGCCACAAGTTTGCACTTAAATTACACAACAAAAATTCACTAGCTTTCAAAAGAGATTATATATATGTTATTTTATCTGTCTGTTATCTGACTAGCGTCAAGTTATAGCGAGTTATTGCTAATAAATTGATTTAAATTAATCGATAAACAATATTTATTTATTTATTATTGACGATAAATGTCTACCTAAATCGATACATATCGATATTTATCAATATCTTTACTATAAATGATGAGGTATATCGAGCGAAAGGCAAAATATATACATAAATCGATATTGATCGATTTACTTGCCAGAAATATTTTAGTAACAAGTCGTTATTTATTTATCTTTTTAAGATAACTAGATACTTGAATCGAGTCACATCGATATTTATCAATAAATATACGATTCATTATTTATATCGAGTTATAGACAAAATATATACTTTAATCGATAAATATCGATATTTATCAAATAGTGAGGATCAAATAGCGATAAGCATTTGCGATAGATAAATAAGCAATAAATCGATATTTATCAAAATATGTACTATTAGCAACAAGCTTTATTGAGATATAAGCAAAACTCATAAGGGAAAATACTTTTATAAACCTTTGGAGAAATGGAGCTGCAAATTCATGGTTTGATCCAACGTCTCATCTGAAGGTTTGTTTTGAGATCAAGATTTTTCATTTCCTAGAACGTCGCCTTGGTTTTAAGCCGACTTCATCCCGCCTTAAGTTTATCAGACTATGCAAGGGCTCTTGAATCACTTAAAGCGTTTGTTTAGATTGGACTAACAGTGCACATCACTTGAAGCTATAAGAGTATATTTCCAATATTTTGTGATATATTTCCGAATGATTAGATACGATTTCCTTCTATATAAATGCTGTAAAATTGTTCTACAAAGAGTATCGCTGCATCGGCTTGCCATAGATCAACCGAATGTTTACGTTTATGTTTATCTTTCAGCTGTTGGACCGTTGCAATGCAGACTATTTATGTACATACATTTTGGTCGGATCGGCCTGCCTGGTGGTGGCTGTCAATTTTGGGTGGCGGCTTTGGTCAGTTGGCGTCTCGGCTAATTGTGTCGCAGCTGCCAGATTTATGTGGCGACCGATCGCATTCGTTAATGTATGCAGATGCGTTAGGGCATCAAATTATAATTCAATTTCTCGAATAGAAACGATCGATCGACCACCGGGAGCGGTGAAAATACATGGCCTATCGCCTAGCCGCTGCTATCTCGGCTCTGGCTGGCTCGTTGTCACTCGCAAGATTGGCTCATAAATTGTCCAAATTAATTCATTGTGGCACCAATGGCGACACCTACTCGTTGGCCGTGGATGGGAATGTCTCTCAACCACTTGATTCGTAAGTCATAAATTTATAGTCTTTATTGAAACATCAATTTGGACACCATAGCAGCGCGACAGCAGCAACACCTATGGACGCCCAGTTCAAAGTTACCCGATCCAATTGTATTTAGGCTCGAGGAGAAGCGAACAGCGAGCAGCGAGAGGCGAGGGGCGAGAGGCGTACGGCAGTCAAGGTGGTCTCCAATGATGCGACCAACAGCAGCGTTGCTTGTTGTTTATTTTTTTCTACTGTTTAGAACTGGTTTCTGGTTACCAACACCCGATGTATATTATCTGAGCATATTTTTGTTAATTTTTTTTTTCTTGTTTCGTATATCATTTCGTTTTTGGCGGATTCAGATTCAGCCAATCGCCGGCGATTGTAAATGTTTGAACACTTTTACAGCTAGTTATGCAAATGGCCGTTGTTTCTTTTTTTTCTTCTCTTTTTTTTGGGAAAGTCCGCCTAGCCCGAGGCGGTCTTTGGAGGCGACAATGGAGTCTAATTTATCGCGCGATGATCTCATGCGCGTTCACAAAGAGGCGTGACACATGTAAATTATATAGACAACAATTTTTATAATAACTTAATTTAATGGCCAGTTATTAATCATACGCCTTGTTGTGGCAATTAAATTGAAATGATTTTCTTTAAAGAAAATTGTTAGCAGTGTCCTCGCCATAGCAATCAGCTTTGTGCCGCTTGTGCGAGCATAGCAAGCAGCTTTGCCACAGCTTGGACAGCAGTGCAACGAGCAGTTGCAGGCAGTGCAGCAAGCAGTGCACGCTGTTAAAATAATGCAGCCGTTACTTTTAAATGCCGTTAGGGTTTTAATCAAAGAAACTAGATTAAATATCGAAAATACGCTAATCATTTAATTTATAAATAATATATGTTTTAAAAGCTAATCGAAAATGTTAATAAAACCGTCTTTTTAAGGCTCACAAGCCTTCTGTGCACAGCAGTGACACTTAACAGCTGACTGTTAGCCTAACATTGTGGGTGGTCCTTGGGGTGCTTTTTGTAGCTCCCCCTCAGGGATATGGCTAGAGCCTTACTATAAACGGACGAAACTCAACAGGTTTAAGTTCAGTTGCTGGCGGGCGCTTCTATTGGAGATAACACACGCGCATTCCTTACGAAAGGCCGCGAATAGAACGCGATAATAACGGTATTTCATTGCCTTTTGGCCCCAAAAACAAAATATAATTGAATTTTTGTTATGGGCAATAAAAAAAATAATAATAATATTTATTGCTCATGTGTGGGCGCAATTGATATGGAAAAACGATGTCTTCATGTCGCGTTTGCGTTTTAAATTGATAAATTTACGACTTGAATACATGAATATAAAAAGTGTTTTCCTTTTTTTAAGTGCATCTAAAGTTATGCCCGTTCAGTTTTTTAATCATATCTTTTTTTTTTTAATGTTTATTTGATATATGATAATGTGTCTATTTACGCCCACTTTGATGACAATTTGTCAGCGCAATTAAAACTTTAATCAATAAATGCGCTTGATGTGTGTGAAAAGTAAACATCCAGAGCAACAGGCAGTAATAAGGATGTGTGTGTGTGCGGTGTGTGTGGGGTGTGTGTGGTGCGGATGTGTGCTGAAGAACGTTGTGGAAATTGTTTGCCCAACGCTACACTGGGGAAAAAACAGTTGTGATATACTTTGCGCTAATAATCCTTTATTTGCGCGCCGCTCATTGCGTTTTTTTTTTCGTTGTATTCTTTTTCGCGCGCCAAGGCAGCAGCTATCAAATGTGACTTCAATTAAACTGAAAGTGCGACAGGACACAAAACAATCCTTGACCATACCCACACACACAGCCAGGCCCAGACTCTGCCTGCTCATCCATCAAATTCGTTGTGCCTGACATGACGCTGACTGGCTGAGCGGGGCGTGGGGCACCCCCACCCATATGTGTTTACTTATCATTCTTCTTTCTTCCATTTTTTTTTGCAATTATTTGACGCGCCCCCAACTCATTAGTGCTGCGGCCGAAACTCTACAAGTGTGTCTGATAGAAACGGATATAGAATCGAACCGGGCCAAGCAACAATTATGTATTGCTTTTTATGCAGCCATAAACGTTTGTGTTTATGAACCGTTCCCGATGTGCTCGCATGGGCAATGAACAATATGCTAAATGGTGAAGCAGCTTGCAAATTGAATAGAGGACAACAACAACAACAACAGCGACAACAACAACCACAACAAGAAGCACAACAACGACGACGACAACCACAATACGTTATGCAGAGAACAACAGAGAAAACGGCTGCGGATGCAACAGCCACGGCCTCGGCTTCGGCCTCAGCCGCAGCATCCACGTGCATTAAGATTAACATTAGCAACTGCAAATCGAATCATCCCGCAGCTCGAAGCGGCGGCGGTGGAGGCGGCGGAGGAGGTGGTGCTGGCGGCGGCGGTTTGCTGATGTTACCCACACAGACACATCACAATCTGCAGCTAGATAAAATTTCCGTGCGCTCGATTAGTTCCGAGGATATATCCAATGGCGGCAGCGGCAGATGCTGCAGTGCCGCAGCACGAAATCCGGCCATAAAAACGGGACGACGCCTGCAGCTGATGCAGGTGAGTGGGAAGGGGGGGGGCCCAGAGGGGCGGGCGGGCAGCGAGCGAGGCTAGCCAGCATTAATTAGCAGAGCGTATGCATCTTAATTAGCCCACAAGCTGCGCGAACAGCGGGATGCGGGGCACCAGAGGCATTGGGGCGGTCACGTGCGTTGACCAAATGAAGTGTCGCGATTAGCGACGGTGCACGATAAAGACTAATCACACTTCAAAACACACACACACACACACACACACACACACACACAGACACACACACTTACGCACACACAAATGAGAATAGATAGTCCTGACTGGAAGCAACTCTTCGGGTTTCAAGTGAAACTGTGTACAGTAAAAGCTCTCTAAGGCGGACACAGCGCCAGAGTCTTCTTTTTTCTTTGAGCTGAAAGAGCTTCAGAAAAAATGCAACAAATATTGTGTTTTTATAATTTGCTTAAATTAATGATTCATTTGCATTTATAGCAGCGCAAATCCAACAAAAATTAAGCCTGATTCGGTAGACGGTTCGAACCAATGCCTCAGGTTCGATTCCATGATCTTAGTTTTGCACAGAAAACTAATATACGCATGCATTTTGTTTAACTTATAGTTAATAATTCTCAATTTGGTTTTATTATAGTACAAATACAACATAAATTAAACCTGATTCGGTTCGTGGTTCACCAGATTCTTACCAGGTAAATCGATCAGGTTGATTCAAACCTGGTTTTCCACGTCAACGAATCCAGATTTCAGTTCGCAACGAACCACAAATTCATCAGAACTATGCAGTTTATTATAAATACAATATATTATATTGATTTTGTCGCAATTATATTATAAATTGTATTTATTTTCATAGATATTGAAAGATTTTCATACATAGAGTTCTGAAAATATTCCAAAGTCAAAAACTCTATTATTTTTAAATACTTTGAAATATATAAAAGTTGTTCTGAACCAGGCCTTGTGCTTAAATAAAACTTTTCAGTTCAGTTTCAGTTTCAATTTGAGTTTCAATTGTTTTTTATCCAACTATCAGGAACATAAAAAGGTTGAATGTCAGACTAAAAACGTTTCCTTTCCACAAACGTGAATACATATTCGTATTCTACAAAATTTACAGTACAATTTTTTGACTTTTTGCTTGTTAAAATAATTAATAATAGTTCAAGCCGAGCAAAACTGAGGACAAGATTGGGAAAAAAGAAAAAAACCAGTTGTAGTCAGCTGTACATTCTTCGAGGTTTCACTGTATAGATACATACTTATATAGATATATAAATATATTTCTAGATGATAATTCTGCCATTTATACCAATATTGGCATTGATTGTGCAAACATCGCTAACACTGCAGGAGATATTGGAGTACCGGGCCGATGTTGCAGACATTGAGACGCAGGTAAGTGCCAAGGTAAGGCGAGCAAACAGAATGTGTGCGAGGGAGAGAGAGAGAGCAAAGAATGGGGCGTAATTAAAATTTATTGCTGAAATTCAATCATACGCCCAAGTAGAGAAGCACAACGAGCACGAAGGTTCATGTCCTACACTCAATGCTCACTTGACCAGCAAACAGATGTAGGAGAGTTTACAAGTGTCCTGCGGCCATGGTGATGGCCATTCTAGGCGGGCGGCTCTTGCTAGTGGGTTGTCTGGCTGGGTTGGTTGTCCCCAATCGGCAATATTTGTTTGCTCAGGTAAGTGCCTCATGCCACAAGTGCGCACCGAGCAGCCGCTCGACCGTGCACTCAAGCAGCTTGAATAAGGGACTCGCCCCAAGGCAACCCACAGGCCAGTGCCACATCCTGTTCCTGTACACTTTTTATGCAAATGCGTGTGCAAAATATGAGAGAGAAATAATAAATATATTGCTTGATGCTAAAGTGAATTGATAGGCGAAATATGCATTGGCACACTTACAAACCAAGTGTGTGTGTGTGTGTGTGTGTCGCGTGGGCGTGGCAAAAAAGCAGCGGAAATGCGAAGAACGGAAGGCAAACTGAAAAGTCCTTGAATTGGGTCACGTACTTGGTAATGCAAAAAATGCAAAGCAAATAATCGCGGACTACCACGAAAAGTGCATACTCTAGCCTTGAGCTGCTAAACGGGATGTGTAACTAAAGTGCATAATCCAGCTTAAGTCAAATTGGCGATTAGATAGAAAACACTTTGCAGGCTAACGAGTTTCGGAGAAATTTTCAGAGTTAAGCCTGTAGCTGAGGTTCGCCTAATTGCCTTAAGTCAATTCTGTGAAAGCTTCAACTGTGCCCCGCCAGAGTGCACTCAAGTGTATTCAGACAAGTACCACAATCAATACAAATTAAATGTTAATCCAAATAGATGGAATTATTAACATAATGAAGTCCTTAAGGCATTCTATTGAACATTGCAGAGCCGGCAATCTGATTTCCCCAGACACAAGGCCAAACTAAACGCAGTCATAACGCGCAAACAGCAAAAGAAAATAGTTGTCTTTACAATAACAGAAAAGAAAATCTTGTATTGAGCTAAAATAAATAGGCAGCTGAGTAAATAAGGCTTTGGGTTTGTTCAAATAGCTATCCGCGGGAATCATGCACAGCGCATATTCCAGAGTTTGAACCAGTTCACCCAGTTGGGTGGAATTTCCGAAATGGGTGAAACACTTCCATTTGAACTTCTAAATAAAGCTGAAGCCCAAATATGCATAAAACTATTTTCTGTGACTCTCCACGAACGGATTGAGGGATTTCAAGATTTATGTACATGCATATAAATCGATATATTTATCGATTTTTAGAATTCAATTCAAACAAACAAGGTTTACAAGTGAAGTAGAAAAACCTTAAGTAGTTTTATAAACAACTTCTGAGTCGTTTATAAAGAGCAAGAAATTTTAATAGGGTATTCGATTTTAAAAGGAAAACTTTAGAATATGAGGGATATTGGATATGCACCTCTAAGTAATTAATAAGTATATGCAAAAGTGAGAGAACATGATGAATTATTCAATGAGTTACCAAGTCAACGACTAACTAATCAAAACCACGCCCAGCACAGGATAAAACTGCGCAAATAAGCACACACACACAGACAAAGACACCTACACACACACACACACACACACACACACACACACGCTCACACGCCTAAGATAATCTCATTTTGTGTGCTCACACGCCCACGCCAGGTGACAATTGCAACGGACTTGGGTAAAGTTGTCACACGACTGCAGCTGGAACGTTCCGAGGTGGCCTTCTATATCTTCACCAACGGCAGCAAGCAGCGGTGAGTTGAGATTGAGATTGACTTTTCCTTTGTCAGCGCACTGACAATAACCCACAACGCACTTTATATAAATAAATACATATAAAATATGTGTCTTTAGGGCGAATCTGACACAACGCTTTGCCAACACGGATCACGCGCTGAACAACATGACCACATGGAGCGAGATAAGTGTGCCAACGGCGCCGGATGAGGACGAGGACGACCGGGAGGTCATGTTGAATCGCAACGAGTTTCAGAGTCGCCTCAATGAGTTCAGAGAACGTGTGCGCCTGGAGCCGGAGGATAGCTCCATTACCGAAGTGATGAACTGGTATACATCCATCAATCGCGGCCTGCTCCACCATCTGAACGAACAAATCAAGGAGACGGACAGCAGCGGTGTCTGGCGGTGTGTTTTCCCCTCCCTTTTTCACGTGACTTGTCAGAATTTGCCTGAAATTCCCCACACTTGCAGTTATCTGGTGGGTTTCAAGAATCTGCTAAAGAGCATCGAGTGCCAGAATATAGCCACCTCCTTTGGCATACGCTACTACGGACGCGGACCGCTCACCGCCGATAATTTTGTGTCCTATGTCCGTTACGAGTTTATGGCCCGCGAGCTGATCAACTCCACGCTTAACTACGCGCCCATGCTGAAGGCCATGTACACAGACATAACCAATACCAAGAAATTTCATCGCGTTAAGCTCATGTGAGTGCTAGGGACTTAAATTTATTTGCTAATGTTCTTAACAAGTTCCGTTTACAGGAGCAATCTGGTGCTAAAGAATAAGCCGAATATATCTGACGAGCGCAGCGCAATTGAATATAATGAATTCATGCACAACTACACGGACGATCTGCGCATACTGCAAAAGGCGCTTCGACGTCTAATTAAGTAAGTGACCAGCCCCCCCATATCAAAAGCAATTAAAGGTATATTAAAGACGCGATATAATATAAAAAAATACCTTGACACTCACTTATTATACTTATATTCACTTTTTAATATAAAACTTGCACATTTTCACCAACTCGATCATAACGCGGTAAAAACACTGCTGATTGGCATAAATATCGATGCTAACAGAACAATAGTATCGATATCGCTGGCATTGCGTATATCGATATTGTCATGCTTCTGCTTACTATGGTAAACGCAATGAACTGCGTACTAAGCTGATCTTGTGAGCTAGCTTATGTGTGCATGCCGGTATCGATATCGGTATGCTGATACGCCATTTTGCTTAAGCGCCATTTTGCAATCTAAAATGAAGAACGTATACTCATTTATATTTAAATGTTATAAAACGAAAGCACAGCTGTTAGCAGAAAAATTGAGCAGGTTTTGCTGGCACAGACTGATCTTTTATAAATTGTATATTGCACTTGCAGGGAATATGTGGACAAAACTCTGATGGAGGCGGATCACAAGGAGGCCATCGGCATAGCCATACTAGTTGTTGTGCTGCTAGTATCGCCAATTATTATTATACTAGTCAGGAATGCGGCAGCAACTATACAGGTAGGAAGCGATCTTTAATTTAATTTAAAAATATTATATATATAACAAGTCCCTCCGCCACTTGGCAGCTTTATGCCATGAATCTATCCCAAAAAGCCAAGGAGCTGAAGCGCGAGAAACGCAAAAGTGATTCGCTGCTTTTTCAAATGCTGCCGCCCAGTGTGGCCATGCAGCTGAAACAGACGCAACAGGTGAGTCTGTGTGTGTGTGTGCGTGTGTGCTTGCATTTAAATGTTAACTGTCTCTTTTTCTTTTGGCGACAGGTGCCCGCTGAGCTGTACGAGGCTGTAACCATTTACTTTAGCGATATTGTGGGCTTCACCGAAATTGCGGCCGAGTGCACGCCGCTGGAGGTAAGATTGGCAGCTAGATTTAATCGACAATTTAGTTAAATCAAAGTCTAACTGTAATTGTGGCAACAGGTCGTGACCTTTCTCAATTCAATCTATCGCGTATTTGACGAACGCATCGAATGCTATGATGTCTACAAAGTGGAAACCATTGGCGACTCCTATATGGTTGCCTCGGGCCTGCCCGTGAAAAACGGTAATTTATGTAAATTTCCCTGTCAATCCAACAGGCTTTTTTTCACCCAGCTCACTGCACGTGTCCCCTACGTCTGCCCAATCCCCCTTCCAGCACGCGCTAATTTGGGTTTTGTGTGCCCATGCGCCTTAATTTATGCTGCGATATGTTTGTACAGCCAAAAATTAAACATATGTTTGTCTGCTCTCCGCTCTCCGCTGACCTCCGCAGGCAACCAGCACATCAGCGAGATTGCAACAATGGCACTTGATTTGCTGGACGCCTCGTCTGTGTTCAGAATTCCACGCGCCGGCGACGAGTTTGTGCAAATACGCTGCGGCGTTCACACCGGACCCGTGGTGGCTGGCATTGTGGGCACCAAAATGCCACGATATTGTCTATTCGGTGACACTGTGAACACCGCATCGCGCATGGAGAGCACCGGCGAGGCGCAGAAGATACATATCACCGAGGAGATGCACGAGGCGCTGGAGCAGGTCGGCGGTTTCAAGACCGAGCATCGCGGTCTCATCGATGTCAAGGTATTGGCCGCTGGACCAAGCTCTTGGAATAGCTAACTAACTAATGTGTTTATTTGGGGGTGGGGCAGGGCAAGGGACTGATGAGCACCTATTGGCTAACCTGCAAGGATGGGCCGGTGCGTGCGCGTGAGGAGATATCCTGGTGTGCCGATATGCAGCCCGTTTTCCTGGATCATCTAAAGCTGCATCCGCCGTCAGACTACAAGCTGCCCAAACGTAAATGAGCGACAGACAAGCGACAGGCGACAAGCGACAATTTCCAAATCAGCAAAATTACTACTGTTATCCACCCCTCTATATATATATATACTTGTGTGTGGCTTTGTGTGCGCGTGCATGTGTCCTAGATATTCCGTAACGCCCAGTGGGCGTAATTAGCCCATCCATGTAATCTGCAGCGTGGCTAAAAATACGCTGCATAATTAGGTACAAGCTATAATAGTCACAACTGTTTGTCTGTTAGTTTTAACTAAAGCCCAAAACTCTCAATTAGCTCTCATATATAATCACTTACTATATAATCTTATATATATATGTATATCTCTCTATATATGGCAAATCCAGCTGATTTGATAACTCATATTATTTACTTTACTTCCTATTTATATCGAATAAGTCTATATACCTATGTTAAAGATATTTGGCTAACGATAGATATTATAGCAATATTATAGCATGCGTGCTATATATGCTACTTAAATGTGTAGTTTGAGCCAGTTGCTCGAATAAATGTTATACTCATTCAAACATAGTCGAAGCAAGCCAAGTATGAATACCTGCCAGCTGCTCGAAGTCTGGCTGCTGTTGCCGCTGGGTCTGGTCTGTGCCGGTCGGGGGACCTTCAACCGGAATAGCGATGATCAGTTTCAGTTGCTAATTGCCGGCGGCATAATACCGGACAACAGTAAATATACCAGGAGTATTGTGTCCATACGTACAATGAAATACATTAAATATTTTGGCGATAATCATTTTTGCACCGGCGTTATTATCAGCAGCCGGGCCATTTTAACGGCGGCTCACTGTGTCACAGAGTAAGTCAAATGGTTACGTTTGCTGATTTTGGATTTTTGGATTTTTGGTTTATTATTTGCAGCCGGCACAAGGCCATTGTGAATCCGCACGGCATACTGGTCGTGTTTGGTACATTGAATCGACTAGACGCTCACACTGAGGAATATAAACGGTTTGTGGATCGCGTTGTGATGCATCCAAAATATCGTCGTTATGTCAACTACGATGTGGCTATATTGTATTTAAGGGAACGCATGCCCGAAAATATCAGGTTTGCAAAGCCGATACCGAAACGAAGGCGCCTCCGAATAGTTGAGGGCATGAGCTGCATCACCTTGGGCTGGGGTCAGGTCTATCCGGTAGTTGTTTTCAATAAGCTGTTCGATTACTCTAATCCACTATATTTACCATATAGCATGGTCCGTATGCTAATCAATTGATGTATTTGGATGTTACCGTTCGGAATCATGAATTTTGCCATGATATGGAAAACTTTGTATCCGAGGGCAATATCTGTGTGGAGCCGTTTGCAGAGGGACAAATTTGTCCCGGCGATATGGGCTCTCCAATATTATGCCAGGGCTATTTGGCGGGCATTGCGGGTGGTGCACAGAAATGCGAGGGCATTAGGTCGATCAAGTTTGTCAATTACACTCATGTGGAGAAATGGATCGATAAAACTGTTCGGGAGCTCTCTGGCAGCAGCAATTGCATATTGTCTCCATTTCTTTATGCATTATATATTATAATAGTTGCTTAAGCCCGTCAACTGCCTTTGGCAGTGTCAGTGTTGCGAAACGTTACACTTTTGTATAGTGTGTGCACAAAAATGATGTATACTAATTAAATTTTGTTCATCTGGTATCACTAAATTTAAGGTCTTAAATAAATAAATGCACCGAGCTGGCAACACTGTCACGTATTTTACAGCTAGTTTTGGCTTGTCAAGTATATTTATGCTTTCGCTCTCTCTCTCTCTCTGTCTGCGCAAACAGCTGATCGGCTGTGAATATGTAATAGTCGGCTAACAAACAATTTAAAAAAACCTTCAACAGCTAAAAACAATGCTTAAAATTAGCCGAAATACAGCAAATGCTGCACTGCAGCGTTGGCGGCAACGGAAAATGCTGTCCACGTGGTCGCCGTTGGCCACCGCATTTAATGCGCCGCCGGCGAAGCGCATCAACTTTACGCGCGACGATGTGGTAAGTGCTCCTCCAAATTAGAGAAAGTTGCCCAATTGTGACTCCTACCATTTGTCAGGGTCTATTTCGCATGACGGAGCTGCGCAACGCCGACGGCTTCTATTTGCTGCGGGAAAATGTCGAGCGTTCCACGCAGGACCTAATTGCGGAAGCCATCTCCAGTCAGCGACAGCGGAAAATGGTGGACATTTTTGATGAGCTCTCCGACTCGTTGTGCAAGGTCGCCGATCTGGCCGAGTTTATACGCATTGCCCACCCGAAGAACAAATATATGCAGGCAGCGGAACAGGCCTGCATTAGCATCTGCGGCGTCGTGGAGAGCCTGAACACACACAAGCCGCTGTACCAGGCGCTGAGCAAGGTGGTGCACGAAGGTGACTTTCTGCCCACCACCGAAGTGGATCGTCATGTGGCCAAATTGTTTCTGTTCGACTTTGAGCAATGCGGCATACATCTGCCGGAAGAGGAGCGCCTGCGCGTGGTCCGTCTCAATGACTACATCCTGCAGCTGGGCCAGAAGTTCATGAATGGCGCCGTGCAGCCCACGGTGATGTCGCGCAGCTATGTACCGGAGGATATACGAGACTAGTGAGTGCATTAAGCTGCCAGTTTGCCCATCTTTATTAATTAACTTTCGGTTAAACAGCTTTCCCACTGCGGGCGAGAACATCATCATCACGGGCCTGTGCACCAATGCGGCAAATGTGCAGATGCGCGAGGCCGCCTACCGTTTATATCTACAGCCCTCCGAAAGCCAGGAGGAGCTGCTCAAGGATCTGCTGCTCTGTCGCTATGAGCTCGCCCGCAGCTGCGGCTTCGAAACTTATGCCCATCGTGCTCTCAATGGCAGCACCATAGAGCGACCCGAACTTGTCAGCGAATTTATCGATGAGCTCTCGGAGCAGCTGCGCCCGCGCGCCGATGCCGACTTCGCGCTAATGACACAAATGAAACGCAAGGAGAGCGGCCTGGCCAATTCGCTGGTCGAGATCTGGGACACGCCGTACTTTACCGCACAGCTCAAGCGTCAGTCTCTGGAGGAGCAGGCCAATGAGTTTCTGCCCTACTTCTCGCTGGGCGGCTGCATGGAGGGTCTGGACAACTTGCTGCACGCGCTGTATGGCGTGCGTTTGCAAAATACCGAAATGGAGCCCGGCGAGAGCTGGCACAGCGACATCTACAAGCTGGCCGTGATGCACGAGACCGAGGGACTGCTGGGCTACATCTATTGCGATTTCTTTGAGCGCAGCGGCAAGCCAAACCAGGATTGCCATTTCACCATACAGGGCGGCAAGCGGCTGCCCGACGGCACCTATCAGTTGCCCATTGTTGTGGTCATGCTGGGCTTGGCGCAGCCGCGCTGGACGGGACCGACGCTCCTGACACCGGCGCGGCTGGACAATCTGTTCCATGAGATGGGTCATGCCATGCACTCAATGCTGGCGCGCACCGAACATCAGCATGTGACCGGCACACGTTGCGCCACGGACTTTGCGGAGGTGCCCAGCGTGCTCATGGAATACTTTGCCAGTGATCCGCGCGTGCTGCGCACATTTGCGCGTCACTTTCAGACACACAAGCCCATCTCGGAGGATATGCTGCAGCGTTTGTGCGCTTCCAAGCATTTGTTTGCGGCCAGCGAGACGCAGCTGCAGGTCTTTTACTCGGCTCTGGATCAGGTCTATCATGGCGACACCGCACAGCAGGGCGCCAATACGACGGAAACGCTGCGCGACGTCCAGAATCGCTACTACGGACTGCCCTATGTGGAGAATACGGCCTGGCAGCTGCGCTTCTCCCACTTGGTGGGCTACGGTGCCAAGTATTACGCTTATCTCATATCGAAGACCATTGCCTCATGGATTTGGCAGACGTACTTTGAGGCGAATCCCTTCAATCGGCAGGCGGGTGAGAAGTATCGTGCTGAGATCCTGGCACATGGTGGCGCCGTGCCCAGCCGCAAGCTGGTGGCCAACTTCTTGCAGCGCGAGATGACGCCCAGAATACTCGCCGATAGCCTTATACATGAGATTGACATGGACGAGTCCAAGATAAAACAGTTAATTGTTAGCAGAAATTAACAGAAACAATGTCCAGAGTATACGCTTGTAAATAATTTTTGTTTTTAATTATAATTAGTTAACTGCCCTATTGTTTTTATACATAGCGAATTTGGTTTTTTTTACACTAGGCCGGCAACACAGTAGGCATCAATTCGACGCCCACGAATTCCTTAGCAATTCGCACTCCTAGAAAAAACATACCGAAGCTCTTCACCAACATCCTACAGAATGGAGAATGGGGGGAAAGTGTGGTTATGTAAACAAATGCGGCAATGAAATACGTTCCATGTTCAATGAACGGCTTGCCACTTACCACTGGAACTCATTGTGGTAGATGTTGCGCAGAATGTTAAATGGATTCCCAGCTTTCGCCATTTGGATTAGAAAATTTTTTATTTTACTTATTTAACGTATGACTTCTGTTATGCTTTTATGCTCTCGCAAGATTGAACAAATACTACTCAAAATTGAACGCACACTACGCTATAAAGTTTTCTGGTATTTTTATAGTATTCCGCAGTCAATTGGACTCCAGTTCCAGTTGTGTTGCCCAAACGAGTGCACTAGTTCGTTCTTTATTGAACATATGAGCACACTACTTCTAAGTAGAATTGCGCCTTTTCAAAATTTGTAGTACTGGTCACACTGTTGCCTGCCCCAATTGTACACGTGCAGCGCCAAAACAATAAATTTAGGTATTTCGATTGGAAGTGATTTAATAGCCATGGACAATACCAACGATGAAATTGAAATGGAGGTTGTCGAGCCAGAGGACGCCGAGAGCGACATGGAACCCGATAGCGACAACGACGAGGATGCGGATGGCGAGCCGGGCACCACAAAAACGCCCAAACAGGTCTACTTGCCGGGCAAAACGCTGGCCGAGGACGAAGAGCTGGTCTGCGATGAGAGCGCCTATGTGATGCTGCATCAGGCTTCAACGGGCGCGCCCTGCCTCAGTTTCGACATTGTTCCCGATGAGCTGGGCACGGGCAGGGAGAGTTTTCCCATGACGGCCTACATAGTAGCCGGCACACAGGCTGCGCGCACCCATGTCAACAATTTGATTGTGATGAAGATGAGCAATCTGCACAAGACACAGGACGGCGACGATGACGAGATCGAGGATGAGGAGTTGGAGGATGATCAGGACGATGTGGCCGACAAGAGTGAGCTGAAGAAGCCGCAAATGACATGCGCCCTAATAAAGCATCAGGGCTGTGTGAATCGTGTGCGTGCCCGCCGCATGGGTAATAATGTGTTTGCGGCCTCCTGGAGCGAGCTGGGCAGAGTGAACATCTGGAATCTGTCACAGCAGCTGCAGGCTGTCGAGGATGCCCAGCTGCTCAAGCAATACGAGCAGCAGAGCGCCAGCAATGAGACCCGGCCCGTCTACACGTTCAGCGGCCATCAGCAGGAGGGATTCGCCATCGACTGGAGTCCCAGTGCTGAGGGTGTGCTGGCCACGGGCGATTGTCGACGCGATATTCACATATGGAGTCCCCTGGAGGATGGCACCTGGAAGGTTGATCAGCGTCCGTTGGTGGGCCACACAGCCTCTGTCGAGGATCTGCAATGGAGTCCCAATGAGCGCAGCGTGCTGGCCTCCTGCTCCGTGGACAAAACTATACGCATTTGGGATTGCCGTGCAGCACCCCAGAAAGCCTGCATGCTCACCTGCGAGAATGCGCACGAGAGCGACATCAATGTTATCTCGTGGAATCACACGGAGCCCTTCATTGCCAGCGGCGGCGACGATGGCTTCCTGCACATTTGGGACTTGCGTCAGTTCAAGACGCAAAAGCCCATCGCCACATTTAAGCATCATACGGATCATATAACGACCGTCGAATGGAATCCCAGTGAGGCAACGGTACTGGCCTCAGGCGGCGATGATGATCAGATTGCCCTGTGGGATCTGGCCGTAGAGCAGGATGCCGATCAGGCGCCGGCTCAAAACGACGAAGAGCTCAACAAGCTGCCGCCGCAGCTGCTGTTCATCCATCAGGGCCAGAAGGAGATCAAGGAACTGCACTGGCATGCCCAGCTGCCCGGCGTGCTGCTCTCCACGGCGCACAGCGGCTTCAACATATTTCGCACGATCAGCGTGTGAGCATGATAAAGCTCCGGATCTATCAGATAACCAACCATTAGCTACTAAACAATAAAATATAATAAACATATTGTTGACAATTGTTTGGCACGTTTTATTGCGGCGGCTGTTTTAGTGCTAGGCGTCATTGGCATCGTTGCTGTCCTCCTCCTCATCCATCAGCATCGTGACATTGATTAGATGACGCATGGTGGGGCGGCCGTGCGGGCAATTCTGCAGTGAAAATAAAGAAATACTCTTAAAACTGTTGGTTGTTAAACCTTTCGCTATCTGAAGCATCGTAAACGTGCCCTTATCTGCAGTGTGCGCGGCTTGCCCCGAATGAAATACAACCCGCCAGTGGCCAATGTAGCAGTGCCCCAGCGCGTTACGAGATGCTCGCACACGCCACTCGCAACATGGAACAGCCAAAAGACGGCGACGCATTTGGCGCCAACTCATTGAGGTTTCTGGAGGCACCGCTAATGGCAGGCGACAGCGCTAAGTGTTTGGTAAGATCGGAACGTGGCTTTAACTCGTACAACACATGCCCAACTCTCGCCCAGCAGGATGAGCAGCCCAAATGGAGCTGGACCTTGAAGTTGGCCATGTATGGCGCCACACTGGGCGCCGCTGTGCCCGTGGGCTATTGTACGGGCGTGGTCAACAGTCCCGCTGTGGTAAGTAGCTATCCCATTGGGCAACTGTTATAATCCGTACTATGTCATCTGTTATACATTTGCTTTCATTCAGTTAAAACCTTTTATTTAACTTCTTTTGTAAGCCTCCAAGCTATAATCCTTGTTTCTTTTTTTTTTAATCTCACTTGGCAACTGTTATATTCATTGTTATAATCCGTCATCTGTTATACATTTGCTTTCATTCAGTTAAAACCTTTCAAGAATCTTCTTTTGTTATCCTTCAAGTTATATTCCTTATCCTTTTGCTCTCATTGGGCAACTGTTATAATCATTGCTATAATCCGTATGATATCATCTATTATACATTTGCTTTTATTCTCTATTCTGTTAACATTTCATTTAGCTTTGTTTGTAATCCTCCGAGTTATAATCCTTGTTTCTTATCCTTTTATTCTCACTGGGCATAATTTTTGCTTTAATAATTTCTTTGTTATCTGTTATACATCTCCATATACAACATATTATCCATATCTCCCTGTTATATCCTTCCTCTCCTTATTCCATGCAGTTATAACTTATTGTTTATCTATGCTAATGCTTTTAATAATCTGTGTTATACTACTCTCTGTTATATTAATGATAATAGAACAGTTTATATTATAGAGTATGGGGTATGAATAGAAGGTTTAATCGAGTATATTAATCGTTCAAACTTCCTGTTTAACTTTCTACCATCCTTCTAATGCAGTCTGTTATACATGCCAATTTATTACCTGTTATACATCCAATTAGGCTCCCTGGCATACTTTTTGTTATACAACTTGTCATAATTTATTTTGTACTACCTCTTATAAATCCTTGTACTTTCTGTCATACATTTATTGGCATCTGATAAGCTATAAATCTCTCTCTTTCCATTGATCTGCAGCACATGCGCGCCTGGTGCCAGGAGACGCTCCTCTCGCGCTATGACCTGCAGCTGAGCGAAGGCGCCTTGGAGCTGCTTTGGTCAGCAGTTGTGTCCATCTTTCTGGTGGGCGGCGCTGTGGGTTCGTTGACGGGCGCCTCCATAGCCAACCGATTTGGACGCCGTCCCGCCATTTATATATGCGGCGCGCTGCTGGCGCTGGGCGCCATTTGTTTCTACATCTGTCGCCCGCTTGGCTCCGTGGAGCTGCTGCTGCTGGGCCGCCTGCTGGTCGGCCTGGCGGCCGGTCTGCTCACCGCCTGCATGCCCATGTATCACAGCGAGCTGGCCGCGCTGCAGCAGCGCAGCAAGTTGGCCCCGCTCTGCCCCTTGGGTCTGACAGTGGGCGTGGTCGTCTCCCAGATATTTAGCCTGCAATCGATGCTCGGCGGGCAGGAGCATTGGCACATTGCGCTCGCCTTTTACGGCATCTTTGTGGTGCTCTGCTATGCGCCCTTCAGGTGGTATCCGGAGAGTCCCAAATGGCTGTACATAGTCAAGGGACGCAAGCAGCAGGCGGCGCAGCAGTTGCAGCTGCTGCGCGGCTATGCGGCAGATAGTCCAGCGCTGCGCGCGGAACTGAACGACATGGAGCAGGAGGCGAGGGTGAAGAGCACGCCGTGCAGCTACCTTCAAGTGCTGGCCAATCCGCAGCTGCGTCTGCCGCTGATCATTGTCTGCGCCTATCTGGGCGGCCAGCAGCTGTCGGGCATAAATGCGGTGCGTTTGGATGCACTTGCTCCGTGTCGTAGGTAGGAAGGTAACCTTTTCGTCTTGCAGATCTTCTACTACTCGGTGTCCATATTCCGGAAGGCGGGCCTCAGTCCGCAGGCGGCCGAGCTGGCCAATCTGGGCGCTGGCTCCACAAATCTGGCCTCCGCGCTGCTGGGTCCCATGCTGATGGAGCGCTTTAATCGCCGTCCCCTGATGCTCTTCTCCAGCTTCTTCTGCTGCCTTTTTCTGTTCCTCTTCGCCATGTTGCTGCAGTTTATTGTGAGTTGCGATCTGGCTTCCGGCTGGGATCATTCTATACTTTAACTTCTTGTTTCATTTTCAAGGAGAGCTTCAGCTGGTTTGCCATGGGCTGCATTGTCTGCATCTTCATGTACATTATTGTCTTCCAGTTCGGCCTGGGCCCATTGCCCTTCTTTATAGGCGCAGGTGCGTGGATATTTAACCAATTCCCGCTCTGGAATCCTCTCTAAGCTTCTCCTTCTCCCTCAGAGCTCTTCGAGGTGGCGCCCCGTTCCGCGGCCATGTCGCTGGGCAGCGTCGTCTACTGGCTGTGCAATCTGATCATTGGCATGGCCTTTCCCAGCCTGCAGAACGCCTGGGGCGCCCTGGTCTTTCTGCCGTGCTCCATCACCTGCCTGCTGGTGTTTGTGCTGACCAAATGCTACCTGCCGGAGACGCGCGGTCGTGATCCATCCGAGGTGGCACCGCTCGTTGCCGACGGCTTTAAATCAAAGCGCCTCAGACAGTGATAAGAATAAGAGAACAATTATCTACGGCTTGCCGAAGTTTGTATACCCTATGAACATAATATATGCTATATGATATAATAGGCTTATAATCATGGGATTTTTCTGATATGTTAGCATGGGAAATATTGGAATAGCTGAGTTCGATCAAGATTGCATGAGAAAAAAAAGTTTTTCATACAAAAACTTGTATTTAAACTGATTTCTTTTGATATCTCTGGGCTGCTAGAAGTATACGAAATTTTGTAATTCCCAAATTTAATCGAGAAATCTTAAAAAGCAAGCATGAAGTCCATATAAAATAAAAAAATATAGTATTTAGTATATATGATATAGTATTACGATATTAGTAAGATTTAGCTCACATGTGAAGACCATAGAAAAATCGTAAAAAAAAATTGTTTCATAAAAGAAGAATTTTTCAGCAATAGATTATATGGCAGCTATAGGATATAATAGTTCGATGTTGATCAAATTTAAAGCATATATAAAGAGCAAAGTAAAACAAGTAAATGTCAATTTTGGTCAAGATATTTTGAAGAACAAGAAGATTTTCTATCGTTATATGATATAGTGATCCGATATTATGAAGAGCAAAGCAAATCTGAGCTCGTCATGCCCATGTTCAGATATCTTAGGATATCTTGGCAAACAAAAACTATATTTTTGACCGATAGTTCCTATGACAGACCCATATGATAAAGCTGCTCGATCCGATACCTATTGGCAAAACTATGCCTAGTTTTTCAGACAGACAGCTTTAAGATTGAGCGGCGATAACTGCTCAGCTCGAACTGCCGATCAGGCATATATATGCATATATATATACTCTCTCTGTATACGGCGACGACTTCTCTAATGCGTAGCACATTTCGTGTCGAAATTTTAGTGCCCTCCGCAAGGGCACTGAAAGCCACGCCAAAGTTAATAACATTTGGCTGTAGCTTCGCCCATAAATTCTCGAGGGATTAGCGGCAACAAAAACTGATTAAAAAGCCAGTCAGATTTACGCTGCCAGGACAGTTGCGCATGGAGAGCGCCATACAGCTGATGGAGCTGCAGCATGAAACGAAGCAGAGCCCGAAGTGGACACGTTTGCTCGTGTGGAGCACGCTTGGCAGCACCATTGGCGCCGCTGTGCCCGGCGGCTATTGCATGGGCATCATCAACAATCCCGCCGTGGTGAGAGAGAGAGAGAAGTATATCACCCAAGCCCAATCCTAATCCCAATCTGCACTTTTGCAGCACATGCGCTCCTGGTGCGCGGCCACCTTGCTGCAGAACTATGGCATGCAGCTGACGCCCGCTGGCCTGGACACGCTCTGGGCCTCGATTGTGTCCATCTATTTGATTGGCGGCGTGCTGGGCTCCGCCTGCGCCGGCTGGGCAGCCAATCGTTTCGGTCGTCGCGGCTGTTTTCTGCTCAGCGGCTCGCTGCTGCTCCTGGCCGCGATGGGTTTCTTCAGCTGCCGCTGGCTGCAGTCTGTGGAGCTGCTGCTGCTGTGTCGCCTGGTGGTCGGCCTGGGCGCCGGATTGATTACCACCGGCCTGCCCATGTACCACAGCGAAATTGCGGCGCTGCCACAGCGCGGCACACTGGGCGCCAGCTGCGCCGTTGGCTTCTCCGTGGGCATTGTGCTGGCCCAGATCTGCAGCATGGAAGCGCTGCTCGGCGGCGAGCAGCATTGGCATTTGGCGCTCGGCTTTTATGTGGTCTTCATGGCCATTTGTTATGCTCCCTATCGCTGCTATGCGGAGAGTCCCAAATGGCTGTATATAGTGAAGCAGCAACGGGAACAGGCGCTCCATATGCTCGTCCGTTTGCGCGGCGGCAATATTGGTCTGCAGTCAGAGATTCAGGCCATGGAACAGGAGGCAGCCGGCAAGTGCAGCAGTCGCAGCCTAGGTGAGGTCCTGAAGGATCCCAAAATGTTGCTGCCGCTGGTGCTGATCTGCGCCTACCAAGGTGGCCAGCAGCTGACGGGCTGCTCCTCGGTTCGTTGGGAACACTCGCTGCCATTTGCGACAAAAGCTAACTAGTTTCTCCGACTCCGACAGATCTTCTACTATTCCGTGTCCATCTTTCGCAGCAGCGGCCTGTCGCCACGCACCGCCGAGCTGCTGAGCCTGTGCGCCGGCAATGTCAATTTGGCCACATCGCTGCTGAATCCTTGGCTCATGGCCCAATTTAACAGACGCACCCTGATGCTCCTGTCCAGCTTCTTTTGTGCTCTGCTCATGTTCGCCTTCGGCCTGCTGGTCGAATATAGCGTAAGTTGGGCGCACACCAAGCCAATCCAAACTCTTTTAACTGAACTCCTTTTGGCAGGCGATGATACCCTGGTTGATCTATGGCACCATTGCCAGCATTTTCCTGTATCTCATTGCCTTTCAGCTGGCGCTGGGTGCCATGCCCTCCTTCATAGGCACAGGTCTGTTTCTTTCTGGAATTAATGGTTTTTGTATTTAAAAGAGATTCTTTTCAGAGCTCTTCGAGGTGCCTTCACGCTCGGTGGCCAACTCCTTGGGCAATCAAACGGGCTGGAGCTGCAATTTTCTGGTCGGCTTCCTATTTCCCACCATGCACTCATTGATGGGTTCTTGGGTGTTTCTGCTCTTCTCCATGTTCAGCGCGCTGCTCTTTCTGCTCACCAAATTCTATTTGCCGGAGACGCGCGGTCGCGAGGTCTCTGAGGTAGCTGAGCTGGTTTCACATGGTTTCAGGAGCAAAGTGCTTTGATACATATTCTTACTTTAAGCGTTATTTGATCAGGTTTAAGTTATATTTTATACGCAATCATTAAAAGGTGACCCAGGTCATATTATATAACCTCCAAGTGCCATTCTACGGGCGCTTGAGCTCGCCAGAATATGTCCTGGCGCCTCGTCGTCCTCGAGGCAGAGTCTGCAGAGTGCATTTTCCACAATCTTGAGCTTGTGGAGATGCCTGCAGAGTCTGTAAATGCCCTGTACGAAAGCCTGCTCAGGCACTCGGCTGTTCTTTTCTTAACATAGCTACCTAGATTAATTTATATGCGCTTTAATATGTGCAAGGTTCTGTCTTCCACTTACCCAGGGCTGTTCAATTTCGCCCATTTGTGTGATGAGCCTGCGCATGGTGGTTGTCCTGTGGAGCGCCTTGCCAATCATCACGGACTTGCGGCAGGCACGGGAGGCGAACATGGCGCGTATGCGCGAGGGTCGGCAAATTGTGCCCTCGGGCGCATCCTGCAGCATGAAAATAAGCTCATCAATGTCCTCCTTGCCAAACTCCCAGTTCTTGCTAAAGGGTTTGCCCAGCAGACGCACCTTCTTCGTAGCGGGCGCTATAAGCAAGACAAGATTTAGCTCAAGATTACAAACAAATTGAACTCAACCGACCATCCGCATTGATCTCAAACTTGAAACCATTCTTTTCAAAGACCGGCAAATGATCCTGCAGTATCATCTCATTGACAGCCGTCAGCTCCAGCGTTTGGGGCACCGTCAGACGCTGGTGCTCCAGCTGCGTGTTGCGCTGCAGCGTCTCGAAATTGTATTTCTCGTCGGCTGCATGCTGATCCACTATGAACAGATCATCATCCAGCTTGACTATGATGAAGCCCAAATTGAATTGTCCAATGATTTGCATACGCTCAAAGTCCGCTTTCGTTATTTCCTTTTGCAGCTCCGCTTCGGCATTTTGATTCTGATTCGGATTGATTTCGCTCTTGAAACGCAATCGCTGCAGCTTGACGCTACGTGTACGCTCCTCTCTTTGTTGCTCCTGCGCCAGCAAACTGGCCGCGATCTGGTCGAGCGTGGTGCACAGCTCGCCTCTGGCTACGTTGGCCGGTGCCGTTTCTGTATCGCTGTTGCCATCCAGCTCGATGCGCGTGGGCATTTCAATTTCATCGTCGCTGTACTCGGTGGTTGTCTGCGAGGAGGTGGACGCAGCATCCGGCTGGGCTTCAACCAGAGCAGCCGGCGCGTGTTCTTCAACTGGAGCAGCCAATGTTTTTAGCTCCACAATGCTCGGACGCGTTTTCAGTGGCGTCAACGTTTTGCAATCAATGCGCGGCACCTTCGCCGGCTGCAGCAGCTCATCGTAGGCTGCAAGTGGGAGAAGGTTTAATATATGGACATGCCAATAGCTGCTGCACTTACCCTGGGACTCCTTTTTGAGCTGCTTTATGCTCAAAAAGCTGCTGTTGGGGCTCGTCTGCTTGCCAGCCACTTCCTCGTCCTCGTCCGAATCCGAATCATTTTTGTAGCTTCTTGCCTGGGGCGACTCTTGTGTAAGGAAAGTCTGTATCTTTTGCATTTTCATGGCGCGCGCGGCAATCTCTTCCGTTTCGTCACAACGTCGTTTAGCGGGCGCAGGCGGCGCCACGCCCTTTGTATCGCCCGTGCGACGCCATTGGGTCAACACATCCATGAAGCGCTGCGAGGAGCTAAGGGGCACATCCGTCTCGGATGCATCTTCAGCAGCGCCTTGCTCATCTGTGACGTCTTCTGTTTTTACTTTGGGTTCCAACATGCTGGCTATGGATACGTTTTGCATTTGAAATGTGGAGGGCAAGCTGCCAAAGGTGTCCAGCAGAGACTTCTTCAATGCCAGCAGCAGAATCCGCTCGTTGTTGAGCAGCAGCTGACGCTTGTCAGGCGTCAAATTGACATCCACCTCGGCACGAGACGTCACAATGTTGAGATATATGAAAGGCTGCTGCTGCACATTATACCGATGGTAGACATCATTCATTACCTTGGCTATCTGGAAAAGTAAGCTGTCTATTATATATTCTACGCATTTTCAAGCTTTCTTTGACACGCACATTTTTTGGCTCACAGGGCCGCGCATTGACGAAGAAGAACTGACGATCTCTGGTAGATCGGCCAGCACCATGACGGCAGCTGGATATGTAGCCTTCCAGCTGAAAGCCAGCTTGATTCAGTCGCTCCACATCCTCGGCACTAAACGCTATGCAGGTGGTTTCCGCCGTGTCGCTCGCGGATTGCAGCTCTGCACGCAAACGCTCCTCACTGATTTGGCCCGCCTCAAAGGGCGACTTGAGCGGCACTAAGTCGGCCACTTGGCGCGCCCCAAATATAGCCGAAATGTTGGCCAGCACATCCTGAGCGCCATGCGTCTGCAGCAGCACGGACTTGACGCCCTTGGGTGTCTGATTGCTGCAGATAATACGCACGCCTCGCGTAACCAGACAATAGGCCTGCAGTATTTGGCACATCTTGGTGAATTCCTTTTTGATGTTACGCGTAAAGTCACGTCGACGCACGGGCAGCGTGGCAAACAGATTGCTCAGGGTCACCGTGGTGCCCACGCCGCGAGCACAGGGCGAACGTTTCTTGATTTTGCCCTCGTGATCGAGTTCGATTTTCAGAGCTGCAAAGGACGACGGGGCTTAGTAGTGTAAGGGTTATTGTAAAAAGCCACGACTCACCAACATCCGTGGACTTGTGGCGCGTCTGTATGGCCATGTCCGAGAGGGCACAGAGCGAGCTGAGCGCTTCGCCGCGAAAGCCAAACGTCTCCACGCCCAACAGATCGACGAATTCGCGTATTTTGGAGGTGTGATACTTGGCCGCTGCCAAAGGCAACAAAAAACATTATTAGTGCCGGAATAATGGCGAACTCTTGGCGTTACCTACTCATGCCCGCCAGATTGGCCTCCTCCACGCCGCTGCCATTGTCGCAGACTTCGACGCCCTGCAGACCTTGATCTTTGAGCTTAACTTCGATCAGTGTGGCGCCCGCATCTATGGAATTCTCCACCAGCTCCTTGATGGCCACAGCCAAGCTGAGCACCACCTGCACCACAAAAACAAAAATCCTTTAATCTTGCTGTTGGCTTTGTTTTGATAAAAGCTCACCTGGCCCGAGCAGATTTTGTGTACTGTATCCTTTGCTATGGCCTTAATTTGACCCGATTCTGCACTTGTCGGCTTTGGAATTTCCGCATCTGCCTCATTATCATGCATTGTAAAAATAAGTCGTGAAAATAATCCATAAAATCGCACAGCAAATGCGAAGCGCGCGCATTTACCAACAGTGTTACCACACACGCACACGCACAAAAATAAACGAGAGCAGTGTTGCCCTAAGACTCAAGCAAAAAATGTACTAGATTACGCCTAAAATTTAAATGTCAGCGGCTTGCGGTATATTTCAGTCTGCAGAATGCAGATGTATTTTCAAAATAACAAATAACTTTTCAGAAAAAACATTTATTTAATCAACGTGATACATGACAATGAGTCTTAATATATAAGTTGTATCTACTAAAAAAATTGATGAAGCGTAAAAAGTTTGAGTTACACAAAATAATTGAGTAGATGACAATAAGTTGGATGAAATGTGTTTTGTTTGTTTATAATAGGTCAAATATATAGATAATAATTATGTCAATGGTATGAATAACAAGATAATTTCCTAGTTTAATTGAGCCTAGGTAAGTGTTTACTTAAATATACATATAGCTGGATATAGTCCACAGGGTCTAGGATTTGCATATATATTGCGTTATCTGAATCTTCAGTTATTTGCTCTTCTCATTCGCAATTTCCTCCAGTTTCTCAATGATCTTATTCATGTCCAGATCCTTGGCGATCTTCAGATACATAGTCTTACGCACTTCATGAAATGATGCCCAGGCCGGCAGCTCCTTGACCAGCAGTTTCAGATGCGATTCAATCTCCTGCGGCGTCAGATTAGCCCGGAAACTGTTTTGTATTTTCTTGATGATAATCTCGAGGGTAAGCACGCTCTTGCGTTCCGTAACGAATACGTTGCGCAGATGACGCGCCAAATCCGGTAGACGCGAATAATTGGTAGCCTCCTGATCCTGCGATGGTCGACGCGTCATCGCGTCCAATGCTTTGGCTGCCTGTTTGGCCCGTATTCTGTCAATTAACGATTTGGGCAAACCCTTCAGCAGATTGGACGTGGCATCATTATTTGTCGTGGCCGTACACTCTTTGACCGTGGGCGTGGCAGTGGAAGTTTCTGTTGTGGCTTTGGTGGCGTCTATTGCAGTTGATTTTGTTGGCGTCGTCTCGCTGGGTGCGATTTGCTGAGTGAGATCTGCAGCTGCAGCATTTGCTTGGCTCCTATCCGCCTCCAGCTTGGCCTCATAGCGGTCCATTACGCGCTCCATGGGCGTGGCGCAATTGAAGAGATTGCGTGCCGTCGAAAGTATATCCTTGGCTGATGAATATTTCTCCACGTTCGGCGGTTGCGGCAGCACACCGAGCTCCACCTCGCTGCAGCTTTCCAAATCGAATTGCGGATGCCAACGTGTGAGCGCCCGGGTAATGATAATCGGTGGATCCAGTGAGCGTACAAACTTGTCATGCTCCTCCATGACACGCTGCAGCAACAGTCTCTGGAATTTCTGCATGCGCGCGGTCATGACGTGTGGATTCATGGACGTCGACAGTGCCGACGCGAGCACATCGTCTTCATTGATTTTGTTGAGGCGCTGCTGTTCCGGCAACTGCTCCACATTGGGACTGATGACCAGCTGAAAGTAATCAGCCTTGGAGATTGAGCCAAAATTGCGTGTTTTCATCTGTGAGTAGATGAAAGCATCCGGATAGACGTGCTTGATCTGCGCCAGATGCATTTCCGTAAAGTTCTTGCGCAGCATACGCTGCACCGCCGGCTTCAGCTTCTTGAAGGTAATGCATTCCTTGCGATTGTGGAACATGGCCACCACCGAGTCCACAGCCTTGAAAACCTCCAGCAAATGACGATACTTGTACGGCAAGGGCAGCTGACCGGCTTTGCTCGTCTCGGCGAGGCTGGCAAAGCGCTTATATGCTGGCGGCTCCAGCAGCTTGCCTGGCGAACCATTCTTGGCCGGACTAAAGAGCAGACGCTTCGAGACGTCCGTGTGCCGCGGTGACATCAACTCATGCTTGTCCGGTGTGGGTGGCTGCAGCTTCGTCGGCGTCTTGAATGTCTTCAAGGGGCTGTAATGGTCAAAGGAATGGCAAAAATTAGTTTGTTTTCTTTAGCTATTGAAAATAAAGTTTAAAGAGGTTCCATTAATGCTACGAATTGTGCCTGCCATTTATGAATTCTTTTATATTGATTTTATAATATAGAAAACAGTCCTTGTACTTTTAATTTTGGTCGATGACATGATATTAGGTATATGATAAGTAGTTAGAGGAATGAAGAAATATGTAAACTGTACTATAAAATATTAAAGATAGCTTGTGGTGGTAGCAATAACAAGTTTCATACGGATCTCCTTAGTTATAATCTTAACACACATTCTGATCAGAGAAAACTTTTGTCAAAAGGTATTTGTGTAGCCAAATGCCGCTACAGTTAGACCTATGCCCCGTAAGGATATTAACAACCCTCTAAAAACATGGAAATGAAAAGCCGTTACAATATTTCAGAGCTACCTGAGTCCGAGAGTCAAACACATTCCCATGCAGGCGAAGCCGGGCAACGTTAGTGTACAGAGAAACAACCCCCGAAATGATGGGAAGGTCAGGCAAGAAAGTAACGTCTGTTGGCGAAGGGTAAACATAGCGCTGCGCACATGCAGCTACACACGCATGTGTGTGTGTGTATTGTGTGTGTGTGGATTGCTGTAAGCAAATGCAGCATAAATTCAAGTACACATGCATATGGACTGATGTTTCATAGATCACAACGTCACGCTGCGACAACAACAACAACAACAAGCTTGGCCAAAGAAATGCAACTTCAGCAATTGGACGCTTGAATAATAGCCCAAGCAGATTGCACTTATCGCTGCGGCTGGTTCTTCGCCACAGCAACAGACATGCCCAGCCCCAGTGCGACCTCGATAGCAATTGCTTTACATACGTATATATATATAAATAATACAAAAAAATGGAAAAAGTAAATTTTGTTAATGATGTTACCCGGATTTTTGCTGCATATGTTTTTGTTTACGTTCGTTTCTAGGCCATAGCCACAAGCGAATATTAAATTATTGTGGCAGGCGCAATACTGTATGTACATGAGGAACGCATCTCACCTGGTCAGCACCTCCAGTTCGATGGTATCGAACTCCTTGAGCTGCACTGTCTTGGCGGGCTTGGCTGGTGATGGTCCCGCCTCGCGCAGCCTGCGATTGCGTTCCTCCTGCGCCTTGCGCTGCTGCTCCAGCTGTGCCTTGCGCGCCAGCACGGCCTTCAGCTCCTGCATTTTGGCGCTGCGCGATACTTTGGTCTTGATCTCGTCGAAGGTCAGGCCACGCTTGGCCAGATCTATGTGCTTTATGGGCGAGGCATCCTTGATGATCTGTTTGGTGGGCGTGCGCATGCCACGCTGCGCATTCTCCGCATTTTGCTTGGCGGCAAACGTCAGATTCAACTTGGGCGTCTGCTCGTTGATGATCTGTGCCACATCGCTCGCCTTGCTGGGTGGTTGCTTGCGCGGTGAAAGGTTACCCTTGCGTATGAACTGTACAAGTTTTGGCTGCTTGATGTTTGCCTCAACCTTGGCTGACTTCTTTCTGGTCTCCTGAGACGGTGTGCTTGGCTGTACGCCAATAAGTTTGATGGTGCGGCCCGATCGTGTGCGTATGCCACTTTTAAGTGCATCCATGTCCACATCCTGATTTGTGGAAGCGCTCGGAAGCGCTATATTTTGTGGGGCAGCAACTTCGACTGGCTCTGCGAGACGCTGCAACGAGTAAGTAAAGGCAACTGGATTTGAGTCTCAGTTTTGCAAATAGAAAATGGCCGCAGGACGCTGCATGCCACATTTTACACACACACACACACACAGTCACAAGGCAGCAGCAGATACAGAAGTATCTACAGGAATGCTTGCTGCACTTTTATTTTCTCTTGCACTTGGGCCACGTTTTTATGATTAACCACATGGTTCACCCACTTACCCTGGTCTTAATTGTGGTCGCATCATCCACGGCGGCACGTTTGCGATTGCTAAAAAATGCAGCTACCGATGGCTGGGCCATGATTGCAATTTGAATTAAATGCTATGCTTATGGGCTTGTTGTATTTGCTTGACAATTTCACTCTTGGCACGTCTGGTTGTTGGCTCTGTGGTATCTCACTATTGCTTTTTTCTTATTATATTTTCATACACGTCTTGCCACTGCCACTGCTCAAATTACAACTGGGCCACGGCGATGCAGTTTCCCTCCAAATGTTCGGCGACGCGCCAAATTATTTTCGCGCCATTTCAATCGCTCGTGTGTTGCAAAGCGCTGTTGCACAGCTGTTGGCTAAAGGTGCGTTTTACAGCACTGCACAAGAGGGTAGCATTTTGCGTAGTAGAAATTTAGCGAAATTTAGGAACCGGTTTAATAGCATATCCGGCACATATTTTGGCCTTATATTTCAATTGTTATTACTGCTCACGTTTAAATCGAGCAGCAAATCTATGTTTCTCGCACTTTGCAGCAGTCAGCTGTTCCGGGCCAACCAACGACAACTTGACAATTTAGCGATATCTCGAAAGCGTGTGCAGGCATCGATCGATATCGCTGTTGTAAATATCGATATTTTATTTCTTGTTAGTGTGCCACACCAATATCTGTCAAATCCCTTATGAATTTCCTTATATATTTGTTCCTTTTTAAAAATTATGTGTTTTGCAATTTTTATAAAAGGTTAACTAATTTAATGTATTGCAAACTGTTCTACATAACAGCTGATTTGAAGTCTATCTGTAACGTTTACCAACTCTGAACACCAGTGTTGTATTTTGGGTAGTAGATTTTTCCACTCGCGGATTTATAGGTGCGCAGCAACGTTTTGGCTAAAAGTCCATGCGTTTCACCACAAAATGTCATTGGATTAGCATGCAGAAACGTTTAAAGTCATGTAAGTTGACATTACAAATTAAGAATACGCTAATTTGTAAAAAGGCAGCTCACCTAAACGCTAAATCAAATGTGTGCTACGGTTACTGTGCAAGCGAGCAGGCATTAGGGCTGTTTGCTTGTGTGCGTGTGTGAGTGAGCACACGCTAGAATTGACAAGGCGACAAGTGTTGCCAACTTAGCTCGTTTCTCAGTCATACTTCAGATTCGCACCATTTTTTTTCACAATTTTTTAGGAACATTTTCAGGCATTTTATTCATTGTAAACGTTATGTAGATTATTCTGTAATTTTAAAAAAAGTGACTCAAAATTACACGAGTTACTCGTGCACAGTGCGCAGTGCAGGCAGAACGTTTCAAGTTGGCAGGGCCACTTTGGCATAATTTCGCTCTCCAAGCATTGTTTGACTTTATTTTTCTTTCTGCGAATGCAAGACGATAGATACGCTGCGATAAGTTGCCGACCAAATTGCACGCACGTTTTCTTTCTTTTCGCATTGCTGAAATCATAACACTAAAATCAAACAAAGTGGCAGTAGCAGCTGCAGTGACAAATTAGAACAAGTGGGAGCCCGAGGCAAGTAGACGATTGGCTGAGCTTGACGAAGCCCAAGCATAGACAAGGCGTGCGCACGCCAACAACAACAACAACAACAACAGCAACCACAGCAACAATAATACGTACAATACAAATGTAAAATTTTTGCATTGCCTTATTGAGATTTGAGCACATTTTTGTTGTTATTTCTTCAACAGCTGTTACACTTGGTGAAAATTAGCGGAGGCGAGCGAACGACACAGCGATAAATAAAAAGCGAATAACAAAAAGCGATTAGCAATAACAACAACAACAACAACAACAACATGAATTCAAAAGCTGACGTCAACCGCCGCGTTTTGGCTATACAAGCGAAGAAGAAGCGGCATAGGAACAACAAGAAACGCGGCAAGCAAAATGCAGCAAATGGAGCTTCCGTCCAAGAAAACCAACAACAACCGCAACAACAGCAGCAACAACAACAAAACAGAAGCGGCGACAACTGCGCTATGCCCGCGACATCAGCAGCAGCAGCGGCAGCGGCAGCACCAGAAAATGCTAATAATAGCCACACAGAGGGCGCCAGCAAGTTTGAACTGCATGTTGGCAGCGCTGGCGGCGCTGTTAACTCGAAATCTGTGGCATCCTTTAGCAATGCCACTGCGTCCACATCGAGTGGCTCGGGCAATACGCCCGACACCCAGTCGCAATCGAAGTCGAAGAACAGCATGCACAATCAGCAGCCACCGCGTAGTTCGTCCAACGAATCGGAGGAATCGGAAATGAACAGCGAGAACGAGGAGCAGGAACTTAAAGAGGATTACTGCAAGGGCGGCTATCATCCGGTTAACATTGGCGATTTGTTTCAGGGTAAGTTTCCATACGGCGATGTCACCTGTTTGCACCTCACACCCAGTCACAAATACCAGTAAAAATTAACAACAAAGAAACAATACAGTTATATAGCACGCCATTTTTATATGCCCTACCTGAAAGCGTTTACATGCTCTTATCACGATTTGTGCAACATTTTTTGCTCTATAAAATGGAAAATGCATTCCTATTGGTAATTTCACCAATTCCACCTGTTCTCGCTGCAAAATTTGTGGGTTAGAGTTGAACGGATTACAAAGTAATAACTGTTAAGTACAGGTCAAAGTTTAATATTCGTTCTATTTGCACAAATTAGCTAATTTTATTATCAACTAAAAATTCAGATATATGTTCCATTGACACGCTTCCTGTGTTTCGACTCCTTTTGTCGTTTTATCAGAATTTGACTAATTCGATTATTCCTCTTAGTTTTTATTTTTATTTTACAGTTCACAGTTGATTGCTTTAATTGATATATTGATTTTGTTAGGGTATTTAAGCTTCGTTGCGTGGCAGACAACAACCTTGTTGTTTATTTAGTTGAATTTGAATAATTCCTGTTTAGGCCACGGCACAAGACTCATTTCTGGTCTGGCTGCATAGAACATGACCCAAAACGCAGTCGTTTTCCTGTTGTTTTAGGGGCAACCGTCCTCCAAACTGATTGTGTTGGGTAGCTGTTATTGTTGTTGCTGTTGTTGTTGTTATTGCCTCACACAACAACAGGTTGTTAATCTGGAACGCCCCTTTATATAAACAGACACATCTGCTTTTGTGTGTGTGTGTGTCTGTTCGCGCTCAAGGGTTGTTTATGGGGTGGGGCAGTTCGAATTTGGCTGGCTTTGCGGTTGCTGCTGGCGACATGACTGCCACGTTTTGATACTGTGGCTGCCACCAGCAGCAGCTGCCCCACCCGCTGCCTCACCCAGCCACAGTTTAAGCCTTCACATATTGTTGGGGGATGGGCGGGCGTGCGTTTGTTTCCGGCAAATGCTTTTGTTATGTCAAATGATGTGCATAAAGCACATTTTGGGGGATTTATAATCAAAGAAAATACCGCTAACCTTTTGCCTGCGATAAGGCACAGTTCCGTCCAACGATAAGAGACCACAGACATTGCGAATATTCTACTTGCTTATTAACTAATCAGACTCTATATACGCATATGTATCTATATACATTATATACAATGAGCACAATGCCAATTTGCGCTATGAGAATGGCCCAGCTGACAGTCCTCAATGCGCTCTGAGGGCGCATTTAATTGAATGTGCCCCCAAGAGCAGCTCATCGTGTCCATTTAGTTGTCCGGCTGTGTGCGGTGCGACGAGTTATTGCAATGGATTTATTGCCATCAAAGGCAAACATTTGTGATTTCATTTTTTTGATTGGTGCACTTTAAAAACCTTTTAACGCATGCTGGTGAAATGCCCGACCGACTCTAATCGAATTTTCATTCACAGGTCGCTATCATGTCATTCGCAAATTGGGCTGGGGACATTTTTCCACTGTTTGGCTCTGCTGGGATCTGCAGGAGAAACGTTATGTGGCCATTAAGATTGTCAAATCGGCGCAACATTTCGCCGAAACGGCCAAGGATGAAATCAAGATACTCAGAACGGTGCGCGAGACGGATCCATTGAATCCACGTCGACAGAAGACAGTTCAAATGTTTGATGATTTCAAAATCACCGGCGTTAACGGCACGCACATCTGCATGGTCTTCGAGGTGCTGGGCGACAATCTATTGAAGCTCATACGCAAGTCCAATTATCGTGGCATTCCCCTGGAGAATGTCAAGAGTATAACACGCCAGATCCTAGAGGGTCTAGACTATTTGCATGACTGCTGTAAGATCATACACACAGACATTAAGCCGGAGAATGTCCTGTTGTGTGTCGATGAGCCGCATGTGCGTTCGCTGGCCGTTGAGGCGACGCAATTGTATTGCATGAACTCCAAGATGTATCCATCGTTGGTCAGTCGTGCGCCCAAGGAGTATCGCGAGCCGCCCATCACCGGTAAGATGAGCAAGAACAAGAAGAAGAAGCTAAAGAAGAAGGCCAAGAAGCGCATGGAACTGTTCAAGAAGCAGCGCGACTACTTGGAGCAAGCTGGCGGCGAGGAGCAGCATCAGCAGCAGCCCGATAAGCATGCCCAAAATGGAGATGCAGGCGGCTCGGATATCGAGCATGATGTGGACGGCGACGATGTGGAGCCAATGCAGCTGACCAAACCGGATCCCGATGAGGATGATGGCGATGATGAGGAGGCTGTAGAACAGCCTGTGCTGTCCAAGCTGGCTAACGAGGCGAGCGCCGGTGATGCTGGCCAGAATTCATTAGAGGAAGGTGCTGAGAAGGCCAAAAAGAAGAAGAAAAAGAAGAACAAGAGTAAGTGGCAAATCACTGAGTATTAAGCTTTATACTAATTGGTATTCATTTGCCTATTTTCCATTAATCAGATAAAACGAGTCAGCAGCAATCTCAGCCGCAGGAGAACTCCACCAGCAGCGGCGACAGCAGCAGCGCCAGCGCCTTGAAGAGCTCGAACACGAACGGCAGCAACAGCAGCCACTCAACCAGCACGCTTAAGGGACAATCAAATGGTGCCGCCGGCGGCAATAAGAAATTGTCACGGCCCAAACAGGAGCAGCAGCAGCAGTTGAACAACAACCATTCAAATTCGAAACAAAACTCGAATAGCAATTCGAAAATCTCAAATATCTCCATTGAGCGCTCCTCGTCGGCCAACGGTGGCCCGTACTCGGAGCCGCTATTGCCGCCACCACCACCGCCGCCTCCGTTGTCCAAGCATCGGCTCAATAAGCGTGATCCCGCGCTGGAGGCCTGCAATGTGCATGTGAAGATTGCCGATTTGGGCAACGCTTGCTGGGTGGACAGACATTTCACCGAGGATATACAGACGCGACAATATCGCTCGCTGGAGGTCATACTGGGCGCTGGCTATGATACCTCGGCGGACATCTGGAGCACCGCCTGCATGGTATTTGAGCTGGCCACCGGTGATTATCTGTTTGAGCCGCATTCCGGCGATACATATACACGCGATGAGGATCATATAGCACACATT